CGAAACTTATTATAAATGCCGAAACTGCCGAAACTCTGCCGAAACTATAATAAATCTATAGTAAAATTTTGACAAAACTAATCGTAGGATTTTGAAGAGGTTTAGACAAGCAACCTTATCAATACCCGTCTCAGATACTGTCTCTTATACACATCTAGATGTGTATAAGAGACAGACGTTAATAAACGTTCTTACATAAAAAAACCAAAAAACCCACTCCTCTCTTTAAAATACTCACCGGTCTCCATTTCTAAGTTCTAGACCAGAATCTACAAAAAAAAAAGTAATAAAAGAACGTTAATAAACGTTCTTACATAAAAAAAACAAAAAAAAAACCCCCTTCCGCTTCCCCCCCCTTAAAATACTCACTGGTCTCCATTTCCAAGTTCCAGGCCGGAATTTACAAAAAAAAGAACGGTGTTGTTTTTTTAAAATGAAAAAAAAAATTTAAAATTGCACAACGCAATTCTTATTTGATTTGTACTATGCTATCTGATAATGTAATCCATATCATTAACTATTAATATTAATAACCGTCGAATTAACCGACCGATATGTTTTTTCTAAAAAATAAATAATTTTTTTAAAAAAATTTTATTAATGAAAACCCGATTTTTTTTTACTTTTAGTAATAAGAAGAAATCGGTTTCTTTATTAGTTAATTAAAAAAATTACATTTATTAAAAAAAATTATCCTTTTTTTTGCGGGCAATTCGCAATTCTGCAAATAATTACAAAATTGCAGATCATTTGCAGAATTGCAGAAAAATTGCAGAATTGTGTCTAAATACGGATTGCGGAATTGCAGATATATAGACTTCAAAATCTGCAATATTCCGCAATATCACATATCGCAAATATTTCGCAATTACTTATTTGTAGCACCATCTTTAATAGTATATACTAAAATTGTATTTATACTAAATTTTCAAGTACAAGTACAGTACTTAATACTGTATTATACTGTATTAGTACTGTACTAGTACAATTCCCAACTCTGTTTATGGGGATGTAAAGTACTAATAAAGAAAAAACATTTAAAAATTCAGTTTAGGAAGCATCAAATCTAATCAATACAAATTTAGTTAAGTTGAATTAATTATTTGTTTTTTTTCTTTTAAATATTATCTAAAATATAGGAAAATTTTTGATAAATTTTTGTAGAGTTAAAATTGTTCCTAATTTATCAAGTGGTATTATTGCAAATTATCTTTGACATCTTTGAGATTAGAGGTCATAAGCTATCTCACCAGCTGGCAAGATGTATGAAATTTCTTTAATTCACAAAGAAAGTCTTACTAAAGTTATCTTTAGTATAGGTTTAGTAATATATTGTTTTAATTAAACGTAATTATATAGTTTATGATTATCAGTTTATAATTCTTGTTACATTTAGTATATATATCTTATATTTTAAATATACAATTTATTTTATGTACTATATATTTAATTGTAATAATATAATACAAATTATTAAAGTAAAACAAAATTTAATAAATTATATTAATAAGAAAAAATGTTATTAATAATTCATTTTTACAAAGAATTTTATTTTATAATAAATTTTAGGGTAAATTTTATTTATATTATCGCACTTTTCAAAATTGTGCTACCCCCTATAAATCATCTAATAAAAAAATTATTAGATTACAGGATAATTACCAGACAAAAATCAAATAATGTTGTCCTGTAATCATTATGTAATCGTCCTGCAATCATAATCACTCAATCATCACAATGTACACAGAATTCTGAAAACTGTGATAATAAAATTATAGGAAATTATTAAAAACAAATTTTAATAAAAATAAATTATATTATATTACATATATGGAATATTTCAATATTTTCAATTTTATTATTATTTGTGTGATTTGATGTTTAATTTGGGATCACAATTTAATTGCAGTATTACTATAGCTATTTAATGAATTTTTATATGATTTTTGAAAATTATAATAATTATAGCTTTCATCGTGGATAAATTGCAGCTAAATCACTGCCTATTATATTACAATAAAATAAATATGACAGAATTAGGATCTCGCTTATTTATAAGATAGGTCACCTCAAGCCCAAGGTAAAAATAATATATAAAATTCTTTGCAGATCCTACATCAGGAAATTTGTTTAGGCGTAATTTAGTGTAATATTTTGGAGGTGGTGTAAAATTTTGAAATATTACACTAAAAACGTAATATTACAAAAGTTTACGCTTTTAAATTTGAATAATTATAGTAATTTAAAAATATCTCGCTATCTACTGATCCAATTAAGACGATCTATAGCTCATTGGAATCAGCTCATCAAGACGAATCGAATGGTAGTAAATTCGCATTTCTACAGTTGATAGAATGTTCTATAGTATGCAATAAAGTTTTAAATTAATAGAAAGTTATCTATCAAATGTAAAGATACGATTTTACTACCATTCGATTCATCATGATGAGCTGATTCCAATGAGTTATAGATCGTCTTGATTGGATTAGTAGATAGCGAGATATTCTTAAATTACTATAATTATTCAAATTTAAAAGCGTAAACTTTTGTAATATTACGTTTTTAGTGTAATATTTCAAAATTTTACACCACCTCCAAAATATTACAATAAATTACACCTAAACAAATTTCCTGATGTATTATAAAAGGAAATTTTATATTATATTGTTATGATTTTTTTCCTTTTTAGCTAATTAACCAATAGAATTTAAGAAAAAAGTAAGGTAAAAACTATTAGTAAAAGGCCAATTTTCTATGGTAACCTTTATTATAAGTAAGTGGGATCCTGACAGAATTGCTATGACGTTGACACCTATTGACCACTAATAAGTGTCCAGATATACGAGTTTTATTAAAGTTTAAGTATATTTTAAGTATATAAAAAATACACCTATACTGTACTTAAATTTACATTTAAGCATATTAAGAATATTTTAAATATGTAAAAATACATTTATATTGTATTTAAATTCTAGTTTAAGTATATTTTAAGTATAATTTAAATATTTGGATAAAACAAGTATATTAAAAGTATATTTTACAAGTATTTTAGGCATATTTTAGGTTTACCAAAATAAAAACTTGATATTTGATGAACTTGCAGATATAATACTTTAAGAATTTTTTAATATATTTGAAAAGAATATTGTTGTTTATGAAAATGATGAAATTATTGAAGAACTCATATATATATTTCTTTAAAAATATTGACAAGAAGAATATGGATTTAGAAGAAATGGATAATAGCAATGAATTTCCTATTATTAGTACTAATACTACAATTGCTGGCTTAGAAATTTTTATTTTAACAGGAAATGCAAAAGAATATATAAAGTTAATGGAAAAAATTCTTTTAGTAATTCTATTTTGCAAAATATAAAATAAAATTAAATTTAAATAAAATTTCTTTCAGATTGCTAATTGTGTAATAATATTGATTTTTCTATTAGCTGTTCTTTAAGTGCATACCCTCTCTAAATGCATATGGATATGGAGATGTGACTGTATAACATGAATTACAATACCTCTTATATAGATGGTACTTCCCTTTTTTTTCTACTATTTTACTTTTTAAACATTTAATTTTACCCAAATTATATATGAAAAACTTAAATTAATTCATTTTGATTTAATTTATAGTAAGATATCGGTGACATACCATATTTTTCAAAATTAGTCACCCCTTTTTTACAAGAATTTTGGTTAAAAGTTCGAAAAGTTGTAGGGATGCTTAATTTCGGGGGGTGACTAATTTTGGAAAAATATGGTATAGGGGCGTATGTGGATCACGTGACCGTATAGTATAAAAAATCAAAATTTGTTACGATATCAATTGATAAAATGTCAATTTTTCGAAATTCATCTTTTTTTAGTGCAGGTATATAATTTATCTAATTTTTTTGCGTGTTTCTTAGTTCAGTAGCAATTCAGTGAACTTTTGAACGTTTATTGGAAATAGCTACGCGACCATTTCTAAAGACAAAGGAAGGTGAGCAACGGTTAGTTTATTTTTTAGCTTTAATTTCAAATTCGTTTGTGCTTCGAAATATAGTTTATCTTTAATTTAAATTACTTAAAAGCTTTCAAGACTTATTACACTATGAGTGCTCTTTTCTGTATATTTAATATTTTATATTTTTAAATAGCTTTTAGATTTAATCTAATTCGTGGGTTCGTCACAGAAAGCAATGGAGCAATTACTTCAAACCCTTCAAAGCCTCTTGATAATATACAAAAAAAATCAACGCCTGGAGATTTTGCTTTAGCCAAGCCTTCTAATACTGCAGGTACTGTTCTTTCATTCTATTGAAGTACGTAACAGACAATACTAATCAATTTACATCAATTATAGAATATGTACTTTCTACCATAGACCAAGTTGTAAATTGGTCTCGTCAGGGCTCGATTTGGCCTATGGTAAGAAAATTTTTTATCCCTAATTTTATTGTAATTATACATAATTATACATTAATATTCTCCTAGACTTTTGGTTTAGCGTGTTGTGCAGGTATGCATAAAATAAAATTCATTTTAATAAATAAATATATGACTCAAATAATTTCCTTTTATAACATTCAGTTGAAATGATGCACATGGCAGCAGCTAGATATGACCAAGATCGCATTGGAATTGTATTTCGTGCATCTCCTCGTCAGTCCGATGTTATGATTGTAGCAGGTACATTAACTAATAAAATGGCTCCTCCATTAAGAAAAGTTTATGATCAGGTAGGTTATTTCTTTTTTATTTTTTATTTATTTTTTAATCTAATAAATTTCGAATACAGATGCCTGAACCTCGATGGGTAATTTCTATGGGTTCTTGCGCAAATGGTGGAGGATATTATCATTATTCCTATAGTGTTGTTAGAGGGTATTCTGTTTTCTTTTTTTTCATATTTTTTTTAGCATCGTTATTATTTAATGACTAAAAAATTAGTTATAATTATATGTATATAATTGGTTGCTTTTAGATGTGACCGAATTGTTCCCGTAGACATTTATGTTCCCGGATGCCCTCCGACAGCAGAGGCGCTAATGTATGGTGTATTACAACTGCAGAAGAAAATGAGGCGCTCTAGGGTATATATCTTCTTTTAAGTTTTACGATTTATATTAACTTATACTAATTATCTTTCTTCTATCTTTTTCTTATAAGACTACTCAACTTTGGTATCGTAAGTAACCAAGTTGGTAACTCAACATATGTTTCTTATTTATAAATATTAGTAAATTACGAAGCAATAATTTAAGGGTAAATTTAATGATTGCATATATGACGTATGCCATATTTCATGCGCTCTATATGCAAGGATAAAAGAATACTTAACCAAATGTTTCTGTCACTAATAATTGTATTCAAATAAACATTTTAATTTCTTGTATGCCAAGAACTTGTACAAAATTTTATTACTTAGATGTAATAAAAAGGTAATGATTAATCATAATAAGCCAAAATGCTTTTTTAAGATAATAATTATTACTAATTATGTTAATAGTCTATATTTTTATACTATAAAGACGGTGGTATTTTTTTTGTATTAAGTGAATTTAATGAAATTTCATAACAAACGAACGATTGCTCATTGTTTATAAGTTGGGATTGTGATGGAAACATAAATGTTTACAATAAATTGCATTATTAATCTAAATTTGAATGATTATAAGTGTTGTAGTATAAGTGTAAATTATCTTGGTTGTTCTTTACGATCAATTTTATAATAATTACCCAAATAGTTTTAATTTGTAGGAATTTTCAATAAATTACTAAGATTTTTTTTAAAAGATCACATTACAAGAAGTGTATGTTATTTTATATATATGGGTTGTACATGAAACGCATCTCTGATGTACAGTATATCTTATATATTACCGGGTTTGATGACATATAACACTATAATTATAAAATACAACTTTTAAATTGATATATGATATATTTGTTATAAATACAACAAAAACTTTTTTTTCGTGGACAGTAATTCACAAACTTTTAAAGGTAACAAAGGAAGAAAGGGTTTAGTAAACAAAAGTAAACTGTTATAGAAAGGTTTAACTATAAAGAAAAAGATTATTTGAGACTTGAGCAAAATACCCATGACTGCAGAACCAAAAAAAAGAATAAACTATTTTTATGATCGTGAGTAACTTTTTGTTCGTTAAGTTGTAGAGGGAGGGGCTGGAGTTTATTGTCTTTTACGTTCTTATATGAGAGTCTTAGTTTGATATAGGTTATAATATCAAAAGAGATTTTTGGGGTAGAAAATGAAAAATTTTGATATTACATCAAATTCACATGGTGATTATTTTAAATATTTTTTTAGATGCTCTTGGTATTTTTACGCATGGTACAAATCATCCTATGAAACCCTTCAGGGTGAGGATGACCCATAATCTAGTGATGAATTATGGATTGTGCAAGAAGATGGAAATTTTTGTAAGCCAATTTAATTTTTACCTCCTTTAAGCCTCATATTGTTAAGTGGACTGCCTTGTTAATTCAATATTTATACAGAGACCAAAACCAAGCACAATCGATGAATTAACACAATTTCATACAGATGATTACATAAATTTCCTGGGTAAAGTTACTCCATCGAATATGGAAACTTGTATAAAAGATTGTACAAGATGTAAGTATCGTATTTCTTTGAATTGTTACTTTATTTATATTCTATTAAGTTCAAGAGAATAAAGTTTGTTTTTTTTTGTAGTTAATGTTGGTGATGATTGTCCGGCTTTTGATGGGTTACTCGAATATTGTAGGCGAGCTACTGGAGGTTCTCTTGGTTAGTAAGTGTTTCCTTTGTTCGATGCAATTTTATTTTTAAGAAAATTAATTTATTTACGATGTTTCTGATATTCCTTTTTTTATAATCCAACAGAAGGTGCGGCTAGACTAAACCAGGGATTATGTGATATAGCCGTAAATTGGGCTGGGGGCTTACATCATGCCAAAAAACAGGAGGCAAGCGGATTTTGTTATGTGAATGATATAGTGGTTGCAATATTAGAATTATTAAGGTAAATTAATCTCATTAATAATATCTTTATGATGCAAGGAAATAAATCATTGATGATTAATTATGAATAGATACCATAAGCGCGTACTTTACATCGATATCGATATTCATCATGGAGACGGTGTGGAAGAAGCTTTTTATACAACAGATCGAGTTATGACATTGAGCTTCCACAATTTTGGTGAATATTTTCCAGGAACGGGAGATATACATGTATGTTTGCATTCTCTTCGATGAATATATGAATAAAGAAAAAAAAAACGGCGGTGGGTTTTTTTGGTCGACGATTTTATCACAAATATTTATTCATTAATCTTACACGCTCACTTACATATTAATATATAGGACATTGGTATTGGAAAAGGTAAATATTATTCAGTAAATTTTCCATTGAGAGAGGGTGTCGATGACATGACTTATAAAAGTGTGTTTGAACCGGTAAATATTCTTTTTGAATTGTCTTTTGTGAAACAAAATGAGTAAAAATTTGATAATGAATTTATTATAATAATTAGGTTGTTTCACATGTGGTCGAATGGTATAAACCCTCAGTAATTGTTTTACAATGCGGCGCTGATTCATTAAGCGGGGATCGGCTTGGTTGTTTTAATTTATCATCTAAAGGTAATAATAAGAGGCTTCCTTATGCTAACATTAATGTCTAAAATTTATTCATTGATATGATTGCTAATTTAGGTCATGCAGATTGCATTCGGTTCGTTAAAAAATTTAATATACCGATGTTGGTGTTGGGTGGAGGTGGATATACCATACGAAATGTTTCAAGGGCATGGGCGTACGAAACTGCAGTTATTATTGGGCAAGAAATAGGCCCAGGTAAAATGTTGTATTGATTTGAGTTCCATTTTATGATCAAGTTATTAATTAGTTTATTTATTTTATGATTGCTGACCGAAAGAATTACCATCGAATAATAGTGATAATGACTATTTTGGCCCTGAATACACCTTGGATGTTCATCCTAGCAATATGGAAAATAAAAACACGAGAGAATACTTAGAAAAAATCATGTAAGATTTTAATTGAATTTTTTTTTTTTTTTGCTTATGAAAATGATTAATTACGATTATATTATCCCATCATCTTTTTTTTTTCTCTTATATAATATAATTTAGGATCACAATTTTTGAAAATTTGGACCGATCACGGCACGCACCGAGTGTCCAAATACAAGGTTCAGTCCATTTTCTTATAATTGCATTAGTAAATCAAAAAAGTTTTTTTATTAACGTTTTACTTTTTAATAATAGAAATACCGGGAAAAAATATTGCATCTGATGAAATTCACGAAGAGGAAGACGATCCTGATAAGCGAATATCACGTACGTTTCTTTAATGATTTCGTTATTATTTATGAAAGTTTGAACAAATATAGATTATCTCGTTGTATTTATTAGAACAACATTGCGATAAACACATCGTGCCGGATAATGAGTACGAAGATTCATCTGATGAAGAAAGTATTTATAATTCCATCATTCCTGCTGAATACGGTCCTTCAAAATATGTAAGATCCTACCGTCACAAAATAATCAAAAATCGCTCACAAAAAAACTTATTGCGTAGACTAGATTCTACAGTAAAATACTCTGATATAATATATCCTCAAAATAACAATAATGGACAATTTTCGATGGAAGTAATAGATGAAGTGATTATGGTTGAAGCTAATAGCTCGAAAACGGACGGAATTGTGGCAACATATCCCGTTCACGATAAAGTCTATTCGTTGAAGCCAAGGAGGAATGGAAGTATAAGAAGTTATTATGGTCAAGTAGGTTCAAGTAAATGGACAGTGACATAGTCAAATTTTAATTATTTTATTAATTTTGGTTCATTTTGGTTTACTATTTTATATATAAAATAAAACAAATAAGTCATAAAGTCGGATTAATTATTCACCAAGATTCTTATATCAATTTATACTTATTGAGTATTAGTTCTGTAATTTGCAAATGTTGTAATTTTAAGAGACTGAATTTTTTTTTTTGGTTGATGAATTCTTGTTTAATATAACAAATAAAAAATAATTGGTATTGCTCTAAACTATTAATCTTGTTTATAAATAATTTATAATATATTCTTTTAAATTTCATATAATTATATAAATATTATGTTTTTTTATATATTTAAATCTTATTTTTTTACATATATATATATATATAATAATATGTATTTTTTAAAAGTATTTTCTTAACACTTTTTAATATACTAAAAAATTTATATTAATTATTAATGTACAATAGTAATTATTAAATTACATCTTTATTGTTAGTTACATAACTTTCAATATTCATTATATATTTAATATACTGTACTGCAAAGTTATATTTAATAAATAGTAAAATACTAGTAAAATAGTTTATTTAATTATTAAATTATAATAAATACTTATTTTTAAAAAATATTACTATATAATGCAGGTTATTATACTAATACCTTTTATATATAGTATTCCTTTTTTTTCAAAAGAAATAATAATTTTATGATTACATAATATTATAAATTTCATTTTTTTTAAATAAATATAATGTAAACTTTTAAAATATATATTCTATACATATTTTGCCTATTTTACAACTTTACTTATAAAATTAAAAAAAAAGTTTAAAATACCAATTTTTTCATAAAACCCATAATTGAAATTAAGATTAAAATTGAAATTGAAATTAACTGTTTCAATTTTAATTTACAAATTTTTGTGTTATAATTCTATTAAAAATACTTGGTTTATTTTGTTGAATACTTTGATCTGTAAAACTAGTTTCACCAATATGTTTTTCCAGTTGAATAATAAATTTTATATGTTTTAATTTTAGCTTTAACATTAAAAAAATTTCATTGCATAATCCTTTCTCTACACAGATCCATCTGTTATCAATTTTTCCATAAACTTAAATATTTCATTTATAAAACATATCCTTTGTCATATAAGAATAAATTTAAGAAAAAAAGTAATTCTAGTCTATTACAAATAAAAGCAAATTGGTACATAAATATAAAAAACTAATATGTGTATCCTTTGATAAAGAGAAAGGCTATACCTAGGTAAAACTATTGGGGTGTGCGATATCGGCCTAATCACAAACATAGTAAAACCACTATATTGTAGGCCTTATTGAGGAATTTTTTTGTCAATCATTTTGACGATCATTAAATTGAAAGAAGTTTACAAAGTTTTGAATTATTTTAAATGATTTGCAACATTTAAATAGTATCAATAGGCTTTAGTACATTATTTTGAGTATCTTTGAGAAAGTTTCAGCTAAAAATTCACTCTGCATTATGCATTCTTTAAGTGATAGTGTTTTACTCTTTGAGACATGAAACATACTCTGTTGGCACTGTAGTAAGTAGATGCTAGCTTCCAAAAACAACTTTTTTGGAAATTTTAAATGTCGTATTTTAATGAAATAGAGCCAGTTTTTGAACAATAAAATAAAAAAAATAAAGTTTACATTGCTGTGAAATATTACAACATGATTTTTACAACTAAATTTATATGTACTCAAAAAATCCGACTCTATTAGTTTGTGTACGCTTGATTTTAATATTATAAACTGTTGCTAAAAATGGAGAGTTAAACATGTATATAAAGTTATAGGCAATTTAATTTTACTAGTAATTTATTATATATTAATAAAAATCTATAGTAATGATCACTATAGTAATGCATTATATTTGTAAATTAACCGATAACCTGATTTTAAATAGAAAATTTTAAATCCAAATTTCTTTTTTTAAATTTTTTAAATGATTTAAATCCAAGATTCTAAAATATTAATAAATTATAAAATGATCGACAGATGATCGACAAGAAAAATCCTTAATATAAAGGATGTTTACTATAATAATTGCACTATATTTGTGATTAGACTAATATCGCACACCCTATAAAACTATGCTGCCTAAGATAATCCAAATGTATTGGGTAAAAATAAAGAGTCAACTGAAATAAGACTTCTCTAAACCATAGGGCCTAGAGTAGAAATAAAAAATCAAAGTATTCTGCTATTAAAAACAATCTAAATTATTTAGTAAATTTAACTAAAAATAAACTAATTAGCTAATTTCCATAATAATGTCAAAATCTCTGCTAAAGCCTCCTTATTAACATTATTACTACTACCTTTACTTTGCGAGAAATTCTTTGCCTTTTTCTGAATATTTGGGTTCTTTGAGAAATAATTTTTATCCTTCTTTTTAAACTTATTACTATCCAAAACTTGTCTAGTTCCACTAGACTTCTTGCTCAGAACATTCTTAGCTTTCAGTTTCAATTATATTTACTTTAAGTTAGAAAAGAAAATGTCAATACCATTTTAACTTCTTATTTGTAGGTAAGAAAACCTATGATATATTTAAGGCCTTAATTGTGGTCTTTCAATTTTCAAAATAGGCCACAAGTTTTTCCTTCCTTTACTTGTTTGAATAATTTTAAATAAACTAGCACTGCACTATGTTAAAAATTCAGTTGGTTTATAGTCAACCCACAAAGTAGCCATTACCATTTCTTCCAGAATGTCATGAATAATAGCTTGAAACTTCTTATATTATTTTTTTTTTCATAAAGTCCAATTTGCAGGAAACTATCTTATAAGTATACCTCTTAAGTTGGTCATCCAAAACTTTTTAAACTGAGGAAAAGCAAATGAGGATAATGCTATTTTGACTTAAAGTGTCTGATACTTGTATTAGTGTTTAACTGACAATTTAATAGTATGACCTCAATGGCTTAACTCTGCTAAAATTTTGTGCAGATTCCAGATATATGAAATATCATAGACTATAATATCACAGATTCACTCTCACTTCTCCTTGATTTTTTCGTATCCAGTACATATTTAAATAACCTCAAGTTCAGATGTTTTCTTCCCCTTTTGAGGTTTTTTAGCTGATGTTTGTGCATCAGATTTTGCCGTTGTTGATTGGTCTTTGACTTGTTTATCAGTTGTAATACACGCCTTTAATTTTTGTTTATCCTTCCAGAAATTTTCAGGCATTACAGATTGATTAACAGGAATCATTTCCACATTAGGTAGTATTAGAGGCATTACAATTACTAGTTTTAGCTAGTTGATTTAAAATAAATAAAATGAATAGGAAGATCACTAAAATCATCGTCATTATCAGATGATACATTTAAATCATTAACATTAGAATCCTTATCGCAAAGAGAAATTTTCTTTTTATATAAAAATCAAGGTGATATTTCAATACTGAAGTTATTTTATCTAATAGAATAATTACATAACATTATATATAAGATTTCCAATATTGAAGAAATTAACATAACTACTCTCATAAAGATGAATAGAACTACAATTAAGGTAATACTGCATATATAATTTCCTTAATATGTAAAATAATGAAACCATTATAAGAAAACACCTATTACGTGAAATTTCACATTGTATTTATAAGTAAACATGAAAAACTGTTTATTATAAAATGCCAAAAATTATGTATATAATTAAAATAATTTAATTAAATAATAATATATTATTTTGGTGTAGACCGAAAAGAGGGGACCCCTCTAAAAAAGGACACCTGAAAAGGGTGGACTTACTTCCCTAGCCTAAGTCTTTCACTGACAATGCATACATGGTTGCTTTGCCAAAGTTAGCGGGTGGTGTAATTCTTTACTAAATTAGGATTTATGATAGTTTTACATGTATTGTATGAACTTTTTTTTAAAATCTTAATAAAGGTCTATATGTGCTGCAGCAAAAAAAAAATAATATATTATTTATTAATACAATTTTTTTTAAATAAATTTATAGTTAATGATTAACAATATAGGTGTTGCATTTTTTTTGAAAGCAACTGTATATATAGAGATGAATTTTACCAGTAAAATTGATAAATTTAAAAAAACACTAACTGGTGGTGAATTTCACTTATTTTTTTTACTTGTAATTTAATCATAATCAAATAATCATATAATGTAATAATAAACCAAAATAAAATAGAAAAGAAAAACATAATAGTGATAAAAATTATGGGTAATGAGATATAATAGAAATAATAAAACAAAACAATAAGAAATAAAAAAACTAATGAAAAATTATAGTATTATTAAATAATGAGGGATGAAAGAAGTTAAAGAAAAAAAAAAGGAAAAGAAAATAAAGAAATAAAATGAGAAAAAAAATACAAAAATGAAAGGTATAAAAATAAAAACAAAATAGGGTGAAAAAAACAGATATAATGAAAAAAACAGAATAAAAAGAATGTATTGAAAGAAATGGAATTGAAAGAAATAGAGTAAAAGTAGAAAAAATGGAATGAAAGAAATGGAATGAAGTAAATGGAGTGAAAAGGAATAGTGAAAAAACAAAAAAAAATATAGCAAAGATGAAATGACAAATACATAAAGTAAAAGATAAAGTAAAGTAAATTAGTAAAATAAAATATAAAGTAGGCTACAGATAGATATATTTGGATAGTAATAATTTTCACCTAAGTGGTGGCAAGTGGATCAACCCATCAGGTCAATCTGGCAGATTACCTGTCAGATTGCCTGTTTAGTCACCTATCATTGATTAAATTTTTTTATTGATTAATGTAATTAGTAAATTGAGTACGAGTCAAGTTGCTAATTTTTATAATACTTTAACTATTATTATTTATATAATGTGAATCTATGCAAGTTATTTTGAGTCACATATGTAGGACACTATGACTAAGGTTGCTTGTCTAAACCTCTTCAAAATCCTACGATTAGTTTCGTCAAAATTTTACTATAGATTTATTATAGTTTCGGCAAAGTTTCGGCAGTTTCGGCATTTATAATAAGTTTTGGCAGTTTCGCTTTTCTCCAAAGTTTCGCCAATTTTTTAATATAACTTTAATATAGTTTCGGCAGAATTTTGCTTTTCGGCGAAATACCATCTTGCCTAAACCCCTAGGTTTCGGCAAGCAACCTTAACTATGACACATAGCCACTCTTTGCAATTTTTTTTTTAAATTTTAATACAGTAAATATGGATAATAGCAATGATGAATATATTGTTTCAAATGA